AAACACAATTATTAAGTTATTTAAGTGTGATTAAACTTAAAATGATGTGATAAGTTTCACATTAAATAAAATTAAGTTTAATAATTAATATATAATAAAAAAAGACATATAAACTTAAACATTGAGGTTTTGAGTTTATATTTATAGCTTTAAGAAAAATTTCTAAAAAATTTTAAATTTTAATTAATCTTGTTGGTGACATAAACTGAATTGTCACTTGATTTTATAACATATATAAAAATATTATACTCAACTTAAATAAATTACTAAGCAATATATTATATTTTTTAATTAAATATTTTGTATATGAAAGTATATTAATATTTTTTTAATTTTTATCTTTATTAATGTAACTCTAATTCAAGAAATAGTAGATATTTAAAGTTATTATTCTATATGACTAAACCGTTCAAAGTCTTCACCATTCCATGCGCGTGGTTTGAGCATGTGCGATGCAAAATGCTTTATGGGTCAATTAAATCAGCCCTTAAATTTTTATACACGAAAGACTTGGTAGCAGCCTTTTTATGTTGGAATATTTTAAATATTATATATATTTACATTAATTAATAAGTTCAGATAGATTAATCTTTATGATCTTATATGGACTGTGATGGGTAGACCACACAAGTGGGTTCAATATAGTAAATAAGCCCTTTTTAATTAGACCAAATTTTAAGATAAATAATCCTTTCGTTGCCATGCTTTATTTTTCTAAGGGAAGGACTTCCTATTTAATTAAACCAAATTTTAAGATAATTAATCTCTGTATAAATACATTATCAATATAGTAGCTTTCAAAGCTTTCAATATACCATTTTGCATAGTATGACAACGCCAATTTAAGCATGCCATGCAGTTGCGAGATATTTTTCTTTAATTTTTTTTTTACACGAAAATATTTGTGTAACTCAATATTACAAATTTGAGCTTTCTAAATTATATCATGGCTCCTGCTCTGTTTTTAAAAAAGTATCAGTGTATAAAGAGAGAAAAGGCCAATTAAATTTTATACACAAAAGACTTGGTAGCAGCCTTTTTATGTTGGAATATTTTAAATATTATATACATTTACATTAATTAATAAGTTCAGATAGATTGATCTTTATGATCTTATATGAACTGTGATGGGTAGACCACACAAGTGGGTTCAATATAGTAAATAAGCCCTTTTTAATTAGACCAAATTTTAAGATAAATAATCCTTTCGTTGCCATGCTTTATTTTTCTAAGGGAAGGACTTCCTATTTAATTAAACCAAATTTTAAGATAATTAATCCCTGTATAAATACATTATCAATATAGTAGCTTTCAAAGCTTTCAATATACCATTTTGCATAGTATGACAACGCCAATTTAAGCATGCCATGCAGTTGCGAGATATTTTTCTTTAATTTTTTTTTACACGAAAATATTTGTGTAACTCAATATTACAAATTTGAGCTTTCTAAATTATATCATGGCTCCTGCTCTGTTTTTAAAAAAGTATCAGTGTATAAAGAGAGAAAAGGCCAATTAAAGCAAATTTTCCAAACCCTCTCAACATTATTTCGAGTTCCTTCCCAAATATATATGATTCAGAATTACTTGATTTAATAAGTGTAAATAAATTCTAATTGTTTTAGCTTTCTCGCACTGCATATTAAACTAGTAAGGATATCCTCCTCGTTAGGCCCAACAAAAAAAAAATAAATAAATAAATATATATATATATATATATATATCCTCCTCCTCCTCCTCCTCCTCCACCACCACCACCACCACCACCAACAACAACAACAAACATATAAATTTTATTGATATTCTTTTTTTTTCAAATTGAAGATAGTGTAAATAGCCCAAGTGATCACTAAAAAATTAAAATCTATGCTTAGTTCTACTTGAAATTATAATTTATATATATATTACAAAAATAACATCAAAATTAAATCTTGTTTGAAGGGTCAACGGGGCAAGAACAAGATCTCAGCAATATTAGAAAAAACAGCATTAATAGAAAGCGTGGAGAAAAAGAAGCATGCATTGACCTACAAAGTCATTATACACAGAAAAGAGCTGCATGGTATTGGTGCTTCATTGCTTTGATTTTCTTTACCCAATCCTTCCCATGTCTTTTTGTTTCGTTTTTCCACCTAATGAAATCTTCGTTATTCTAACTGTGCCACTTTTTTCCCTATAGATATCAAATAAATAAATACTAAATTAAAATTTTAACATATTACTAATATATGTTTATATATGCTAGTCAATGTTCAACACAAGCGAGTATATAGTGATGTCTTTTTTTTTATGGAAGAAATGCACAAAGGGTACTATACGCTTAAATCAGCAGCTAACAACTCATAAATACACTCAAAGGGATCCATGAAGAAGACAGGTCCATCAGCGAGATTGATAGTTTCTTTGGCAAGCTTGTCAGCAACAGCATTAGCATCACGACCACACCACAATAGACTTACCCTCCAGTCCCTCTTTATCATACATTAAATCTTAGATATAAGATTGCGATCCAAGTGATAAATTGTGGTTCCCTCCTTGAGTGCCATAAGCACCTCCATGCAATCTATTTCAATGCCAATCTCCCTCTATTGCAAGTCCCAAGCTCTCTTAAGACTCCACATCACCCCCCACAATTCCACATGCAGAATGCTCGCCTAATCGATGTGATACAAAAGCCTCCCAATGTCTTCTCAATGTGGTCTCTCGCTATACCTCCACACTCGGCCACTACACCATCTCTCCCACATGCCCCATCAACATTGATCTTGATAGTTCCTATCTCTGGAGCGCTCCATCTACCTTGGCCTCTCACCCTCCCTTCGTCTATAAGATTTGGACTAGACCACCTTACCATCGCTTGAACTTAAGCAAGAGTCATATGCACACCAATAGCTTTTTTTTTAAAAAAAGACCCTAACATTTCTGTTAATCCATAGCTATCTGCATAACATGGCAAACCAAACATCCCACCTAACTCCCTTGACTACATGTTGTTGAGAAAGATTCCAATCTAACCAATCCGCATGGTCATTAAATTCGTGAAATGTCGCCTCTTTATCAGGATGCACCAACTATTCCCAACATGCCATTGCTATCAGGCAATCTCTCAAGACATGTAGTACAGTCTTACAGTCGTGAGGACATAAGGAACAGGACACGTTGCACTGAATACCTTTAGATGCACGAAAAAAATTAGTCATAAGCCTTCCTCTAACACAAAGCCATAGAAAAGTTTTATTATGCTGGGGAACAGGAGACTTTCACACCTTCCTCCAAAAGTGTTTTTGTAACTCATCAGTGTTATTACAAAGCCTGTTATAAGATGACTTTATTGTGAACTCTCCGTTATTTGACCACCTCCATCTGGGTATATCCTCATCTCCATAGCTTGAGATCCTGTTTATAACATCAATTATGTTTCTAGGCAAATACTCGATGAATTTAGCCATTATCCATCCACCAAACAGTGTTAAATACTTGTCTACCATGTCAATGATAATTTCCTCTGGAACACTCTTCACCACATACTATATCAATGGTTCATGATGAGGGAGCCAACAATCACTCCAAAACCTCACCATAGAGCCATTACTCACCTGCCATGCTACACTGGATGTAACCTCGTTCTATGTTTTCTTAATTCCCCTCCAAGCACTAGATCTGCATTTTTGAATCTCTACCTTAGGAATAACATCATTACCACATTTGTAATTTTCACGTATAAGCTTCACCCATAGTGTATCCCACCGATAAATAAGTCCCCAGCCAAGTTTCATCATAAATGCCTTATTTTGATGGCTAGCCATTCACAGCCCGAGTCCTCCATTCTCCTTCCTTTGGCACACATCACCTTAAGACACTAAGTGTATCTTTTGGTGTGACTCCGTACTACCCCACATGAACTTCATATACTTCTTATCAATCTCCTCACACGTGTATTTTGGTAATGGAGTAGATTGCATTGTATACATTGGTAATGCTACCACCACAAAAGAGGCCAGTATGTGTCTAACTACCATAAAAAGAGTATTCACCTTCCATGAGGATAACCTACTATCCATCTTATTCAAAATGTGTTGATACATATGTTCTGACACTCTTTTATGATGTAGAGGTACCCCTAAATACTTCATAAGGTCATTTGTAGTTGTAAACTTTAAGAAGCTACTAATTGCAGTTGCGTGCATTCTTCATACGTTTTGAGAGAAAAAGATTCTAGACTTAGCACTGTTAACTTTCTCTCCCAAAATGCCACAAAAGTCATCTAAACAAGCCTTTAACAAGCTTGCTTTGCTCCATACTAGCCTCCGTAAAAAGTAGTAAATCATTAGCAAAGAAGAGATAAGATATTGTTAATCCGGTCCTTTTTAATTTAAAAGGCAACCAATTCCCTATATCAACTTCATTCTGTATCATGTGCCCCAGTTTCTCCATAACTAAAACAAAAAGATATGGTGGAAGAGGATCACCTTGTCTCACCCCCTGGTCAGAGTGAATGTATCGCCTTTCTTACTATTCCACATCACCTGTATAATAGCCGTCGATAAACACTTGTATACCAGATTGATAAAGGTTAAAGGAATGTTGAGTTCTTCTAAACACTTAGTCACAAACTCCCACTTTACTCTATCATAATTCTTCTCAAAATCAATCTTTAACGCCATAAACCCCTTTCTCCCTTCTCGCTTGCAGAAGGAATGGATAATCTCTTGTGCAACAATAATATTATCGATGCTTTATCTACCAGGAACAAAGCTGCACTGATTAGGATCTATAATTTTAGGCATGAGATGCTTAAGTCTTGTTGCAAGCACCTTTATGATTACTTTGTATACCACATTGCAAAGACTAATAGGTCAACATTCCTTTAAAGTTTCTAGAATATCCATCTTCAAAATTAAAATGATGTTTGTTGCATTGATATGCCTCACCAAATCAGGATTGTGGAAGATTTTCTAGACTAATTAAACAACAGAGTCCCCTACAACCTCCCACTAACTTTAGAAGAACAAAAGGTTTAACCCCTCTGGGCCCGCAGCTTTAAGGGGCCCCATTGCAAACACTGGTCCTTTAATTTCAAGTCTACTTATATCATGTCCTAGCGACTCAATGATGTCCTCCTCTATTATTAAGAAGCAACCACCAAAAACAATCTCATCCAAGGAGATTGATTCCGCAGCATATAATTGTTTGTAGAACTTGGTCTCCATTTTCCTTAAGATCTCACTATTGTAAATCCATTCTCCATCCTTACCCTTTAGAGTTTCTATACGTTTTCGCTTCTTTCGACATTGTGTCATTGTGTGAAAGTATCTTGTATTCTTACCCCCCTGAGCATACCAATTACACCTTGACCTTTGCAACCACATAATCTCTTCTTGCACTAAAATCATTTCTAACTTGATCCAGAGATCGGCATGTTCTTTTTCTAAACATTCAATGTTCGTACTCACACTAAGCTGCCGATTAATGCCTTCCAATTTGCTCATTAACACTGCTTTTCGCCTGTTAATGTCCCCGAATACATATTTATTCCAATCTGAAACATTAGCAATAAATCTCTTCACGTTATCTTCCCAGCTATGAGAGGAGCTCTAGGATCTTTCTACTGTCGATTTGAACCCCTCATGTGTGACCTATGGTGTGAAAAAGCAGAATCCTCTCTCCTTTGTACCCCACTGATCTTCATTACATAATTTAAGGAAAATGGGACAATGGTCAGATTTGATCCTCAGTAAATGTATCACAGAAGCTGCAGGGAAGTACTCAGACCACCTCGCATTAACAAGCAATCGGTCATTTCTGCTACACGACCTACCGCTACTCCATGCATATTTAAGACCTTGAAATCCCAAATCACTCACCCCAGATGCATCCGCCCATTGCTTGAAATAATGGTTAACATGAGATTGAGTAGTTGGCAAGGACATACAATCCTCCTTATGCAATGTGGCGTTGAAGTCTCCACTAATACAACATTTCTGTACCCCATGAGCTTCTATATCACGTAAGGATTGCCATAAAGACTAGCGTTCAGCATAATTGGGGTGACCATAAACAATCAACAAATCCCATTCCTCCCTCGAACTAACATTAAAGCTTCCATGTAGAACCTGTACATGTTTCTCTTTGACCCGAAAATCCACATTCTCCCCCCCAAAAGCACCAAGTTCCTCCACTGTAACCATTAGCTTCCACACAATCAAACTGAGTCAATCCCACCCTCCATGCTAAAGTTTGTGCTCTTCTACTATCCTTCCTGGGTTCTAAAAGAGCCAAGAAATCAAACTTATAACGCTGACGTAACTTCGATGATAGTCTTAGGACTTCCTTTCCTCCAACACCCCGCACATTCCAAATAAGATTATTGGTTTTCTTCTGTCCACTATCCATAAGACACTTTATTTTAGAAGGAAAGCTCAGGCACATAGCTCATGTTGGTCACATGTTTCTTGATCACTCATCACCTCATCTCCTTGCACCGAGGACAGAGGGTTCAAACGCATGTGGAATGCTATAGATTGGCATGCACCCGGTTCCATGGGTTTATCATCCTTTGTCATATCAATTCTCTCGACTTCCATGCACCCTTCCTCCTTTGACTTCTCAGAATCATGATCTGTGTACACCTCGTATATAGTGATGTCTAGTTCACTAGTCTATCCGCATAGAAGACATGATTTTTATTCTGCTAGTCCGTTCATAGTAAATATCTAAGAAAATGATAATTAATATCTAAGAAAATTATTACTTTAGCTATATTCCTAAATACAAATAGACCAATCATAGAAAATTTTCTAATTCTCAACGTTATCTCCGGGTCGTTCCCCTATCCATGATTTAGAACTGTTTGATTTAATCTTCGTACCAACATTTGCACAAAAAGGGGGGGGGGGAGCGCATGCACAGTATAAAATTAATTAATTTAATTTTTTTAATAGTTCTTTCACTAAATTATTCCTTACACTGAAATTTTAATTTAACTATTTATTCAATCAAAATGATTTTTCACAAGGATGGTCCAAAATTTTCACATTCATTTTACCTCATAACCAAACTTAAAAGAATGGCCGAAGGGGGGGAGAGTACTGAACGGAAAAGCCTATTTCGGTGTATTTGATGTGAGAAAGTGTTTTCTAAAGTTCAAATTTTTTTTAAATAACTTTTTATCATATTTTTCTACTTCTCACTCGCCACTTCACAAATTTTCAACTCCAGGCAGGATATGGACATTTGAAAGAATAATACAATGAGTGGATTTTTATTTAATCAGCATTTTTAAATTTTTAAGCAAGAATACAGAAAAGGCCAATCATAGCAAAAGGAATACAATTATACAACAAGGCTTGAAATGCAAATTGAAAATAATAATATCACTGACAGGTGGCACGAAAAATTATGCGTTGATTGATTAGGAGAGAAAATTGAAGTGGAGAAAAAAGAGAGACGAGAAAATAAAGATAAAATATTTTCTGTCATTATGTTTAGAAATATAAGAGGAAAAAATTGACTAAATCCATAAGAATAGTATTATCCATATGATATGGATAACGTATGAACTACATGCCTCTTTTTTTTTTTGGTTCAAGGTATCCTGACAGACAGTCGGCAACGGTGTGACTAATTTCCTTGAACAATTTGAACGTCATTTAATATGTTATTCTCTTTTAAATAGTTTTTTTTTCATACACACCTCTAAAAATTGACTCCTAAAATTATGTTTAAGGGGCCCAAACTACTACAAGCTATACCACATCCACTTAGTTACATGCCTCTTTTTTGCAAATGAAGAATGCAGCTCTGTTACCCAAAACAAAACAAAAAACAGAGAAAATGTAGGCCTTAATTGAGCTGAATGTTTGACTCAATTTAGAAAATATTTGGGCTTCACTATGACTTCATTTTGTCAAATCAAAAGATTCATAGCATTTCTACCAAAAAAAAAAAGATTCATAGCATTTTGGGCTCTAACCAGTGCCAACTACAATTTTGGGAGGAACAAAAATTTCAACTATCCCATTTGAAAACGAAAACTGACCAAATCATGTTACTAACAGGGGACATAGAAAATGATGCTTTGAGTGTGTTATGGTATATTGAGATTTATTTTTCAGGTCATACAATATAAGTTGTTACAAATTTAAAAGCATCTTAAGTTTGAGAAGGAGTGTTAGGACATGAAAACTTGCTTCATACAGACCATGAAAAGACACGAGTAAGCAGGATAGCTCAGGACATGATGGATGCGTTATCATCTGAGAAAGATGAGATAATGATTCAAGATGGTAGAAAACAAAAAAAAAAAAAAAATATCATCCTTTGCTGATATAAAGAGCTTACAATATATATATATTATCCTAATAATAAATAATGAATATTTTAATAATATATAATAAATGCAAAATGTTTTTCAAATCTTAACAAAATAAATCTTAATAGATAAAAAATCTCAACACAATAAATGTACATAGATAATAAAAATCATAACAAATTGATTAGGAGAGAAAATTGAAGTAAAGAAAATGGGATCAGATAAAACGAGGAGGAGAGAAAAATTAAAGATAAAATATTGTCTCTCATTATGTTAAAAAAATAAGAGAAAGAACACTATGGAAAAAATGACTAAATTCATAATAATAGTAATTAATATCCATATGAATGAGAAATGGGCAACAGGCCTCTCTCTCTCTCTCTCTTTTTTTTTTTCCCTTCGAGAAAAATCTTTACAGAGAAAACAAATGAGGCACATTTAAAGAATGTGGGCCTTAATTGAACTGTTGGACTTAACAACAAAGTATTTGGGCTTCAGAAAAGTATAGGATTAAATAAAATAGTATTTTGTTAAAAAAATTCATCGTATTTTGGGCTCAAGCCCCTTATAATTTTAGGTAAACGAAAATATTAACTTGAATTTATCAAAAGAGGTCAACTAATATTTGAATTATTAATATTACCAAAAAAATATTTGAATTATTAATGGAAGGAGTATTCAAATTTAGTGTCCAACAGTTGTTTGAACAAAATTGTCTTCAATAGAAAAATAAGGAAAAAAAATTAAAGTTAAAGAATGTAAATAAATAATATAAATTGTTCACATCTTTTTGTTTGGCCAACAATTGGCCACATCTTTATAAGTATAACAAAAAAATAAAAACTTAATTTAATGAGATTAAATATAGCCTAGTGAATCAAGTGGACAACCCATCATTTTTCAAGGCAACCTTATTTCACATTTCCTCTTGGCGTCATCACAATAAGTATTGGATCTAAATTTTTAAAATTATAAAATATGTGTGTGTGTGTGTGCAGCAAATTAATTTCTTTACATATAAATGCACCTGGTTGATATACTCGGATATTTTTAATCAGTGATACACCATACAACTTTCTCTCCCTTAATTAGGGCACTGAAAAAGCTTGAAAACAATGTTTTGGTTGGAAAAAGGAAAAGACAAAAAAGAGAACTTGTCACTGGATAGGGTCTCACCGTCTAAGAAAGGGGGAGAGAGTCTCTTCATTTTTTTCTCGTTCATTTCCCTCCATTTTCTCAATCTTTAACATTTTTTTTTTAATAATAATTATTAAAAAAAATGGTGAAGATGGGGAAATGGACAAGAAAAAAGGGAAAGACAAGACCTGTTTCTCTTCATATGTATCACAATCCATCTTTTGAGGGCAACTAATTGGGTGCACTAAAAAATGGCGGCTTTTTCCACCAAAAACAATGAAGGAGAATAATGACAAAGAAGTCCCCTTCAAATTGGGTATGAAGTATCAAACTTTAAGAATTTGTAAGTTCAACTCTTAATTTTATAAATTAGTTGTAATGAATTTGTATTTATGTTTTAAATTTTACTAGAAAAAATAAATTTATTTATTTTTCAATCATATTAAAATTTAAAAAATAAGTTATCAATTCATTATAATGAAGTTACAAAATTGAGAGATAAACTTGTAAATACCTAAAATTTGACATTTCAAATTTAATTTGAGTTATTTAATCGATCTATCTATCATTCTTTCTAAACAATGAGGAATAACAGCTTTATTTATGCAGCGACAAACCAAGTCTCCGCACAGAAGAAGAAGAAGAAGCAGAAGCAGAAGTTGTGACTCTGGAATCTGCACCTCTTCGATTCCTACACTTTGGTTTTTGCATTTATAAGCCTCAGAGTTCCATAAAACAAGCTTCAAATCAATACCCATATGAGAAATCTTGGCGATATGAAGCCAAAGATTTATCTTTTCAGTGATTCCATCCTGTGACGGACCTAGAAATTTTTATCTGTGAGGGCATCATATATTTATACTTATAAAGATACATTTGTAATACAAAAAATGCATCATAATATTACTAAAAAAGTTGAAGTTATATATCATAAGTTTTCTCTTCAAGGTTTTTTCTGATAAACTTTCCCTGTGAGATTTCATATTTTGGTAATGTTAAATAATTTTTTCATTTTCAATATTATAAAAAATTTCTTTTTCTATGTAAGTAACCAAATAATAGTTCAACAATTTATCTCCCATGCGGTTTTGATTCTTCACGATATTCATAATAGAGAAAGTCCTTTCAACTATTAACTGATAATATCAAAGCTAATTTCACAAAAAAAATACACTTACGGATATACAGTATGCTTCCTCAATTCCACAAGCTTTATAGAAAGATTAATAATTCCTCATTATTTTGAAAAATCACTATCAAAGGACACATTTTTGGAATAATTTTAAATCTGACTATCTAATATAATGCCAAAAGTTATATAGGTGAAAATTCAGCAAAATAAAATTGAGCCAAATGAATTAACTTCTCCTTATGAAATGCTGAAAATGAATCTTTTGGATTTAAGCATGCTACACAAAGAAGCAATTTAGTATTTATTTTCGTAAAATGATTGTTCAGCTCTTGAAGTTGCCAATCAATGACTTGATAGAATGATTCAACTTGAAAGGGGAGTAAATTAAAAACTTTTTCCATTCTGCATATTGATCTTCCTTGTATTTGAAAGATGTCATTCATATTTGGAATGATAACATTGTGTTTTCTACAAAATAATGACACTTCATGGAACAAAGAATTCCAACCACCATCCCTCATAACTAACAATCTTTGTTTAGACATTACAACTAACTTCATAGCATTTACAATGTCTTGATCTCTTCTTTGTAATGCTTGGGATAACTCATAAATAGTTCTTAAAATATTTTTCATCAAGAGCAATATGAAAACAAATTCAAATGTATGATTGCATATAATTTAACAAAGCACATGCTTCATTTTTTTTTTAATTGTCAATGTTAACGGATTTTAGTCAAATTTAACGGAATAGAGATTATTGAATTCATTAAAATAAGTTCATGGATACTCCTACATGCACTTTTATTTACTT